TTGTAAGATGGGTGTACAGTGATAACGTTAGAGTGAATGGTAGCCCTCTGAGTGTGATATAGTGGAGAGAAGTTGGTGGGACTTACCCTTGTGGAGCACAGCTTATCAATAACCCTCTCACTGCATTGCAGGGCCATTGAGCTTCATGAGGGACACTGCTTTGATCCGGAACATAGGAATTAGGAGTGAGAGTAAGCAATTCAGCCTTCAAGCCTGGTCTGCCATTTAATATAATCACAGCTGATCTTATCCTGGTCTCAACTCCACTTTCCTGCCTACTCCCCATAACCCTTTACCTGGGTCACTATCTTGGTCCAGGCTGATTGAAACTGGTGGCATGGAATCCTTTGCCAGTCAGCAGGAAGATGCACTGCTCTTTTTTCCACCACGTCATCCACTGGCACCTCCAGGACCCTGTGGGCAAATCAAGAGACAACTTGGCCTTTGTCAGGCACTTTCTTGGGTACAATGGAACAGGAGCACAGTGTGGACAGCAGTTCTGGCTTGCAGTGTCTGAAATGGTGTGCAACCAGAGTTTAAATGTGGCAACATAAACAGCACAATGTCTTGGTAGCAGCGAGCAGTTCCATAATTCCCTGAGACAGGCACCGAAGAGGCCAACTAATGGGATCAGGAGTAGACCTTTGCGAGAGAAAAGCCAGCATGGACTACGGCTGCCATGAATCTCACTGAAAAAAAAAAACACTTTGTCAAAGAACGGAAAAATTCAGTCCTGTGTTTTATAAAACGTTATATGTAGTACGAAAAATATAACTAAAAAGAATATGGGGGAGATAGTAGGAACTGCAGATGCTGGAAAATCTGAGATAACAAGGTGTAGAGCTGGATGAACAAAGCCTTCCTGCTCCTATGATGCTGCTTGGCCTGCTGTGTTCATCCAGCTCTACACCTTGTTAGCTAAAAAGTATATGGAATCATTTAAAAACTAATCGAATGCTGCAATGAGAACACTTCATAGATTTTCTAGACTGATGAATTAGGATAGACCAAATGACTTCTATTTTTTTAACCCATTTGTGACCTTGTAAATCAAATGTCATGGGAATTGCCTAGAACCCTTCAGTCAATATGACTTTGACAATTCAAAATCCAAATAAATTCCCACTGAATACATTTCTTTATTTGTTCACAGAATGTGTATGTCATTGGCTAGCTGAGTAGTTATTGCCCAACCCTAATTGCACCGGTGATGGTACTGGTGAGCTGCCTTCATGAACTCCTGAAGTTCTTGGGCTGTAGGGATGCAACAGTGTTGTTAGGAAGGAAGTCCAGGATTTTGACCCAATGACAGTGATGGAATGGCAATATGGCTCCAAGTCAGGGTGGTGAGTGACTTGGAAGGGAACATGCGAATGGTGGTAGTGCTCCCATGCATCTGCTCCCATTTCCTTGTCGGCAGTAGAGATCACTGCTGTCAATAGAGCCTTGGTGTGTTACTGCAGTGCATCTTGTAGATGGTTGCACTTTTGCCACTGTGTGTCACTGGTGAATGGAGTGAATGTTGAATGTGTTGGAAGGGGTGCTAGCAAAGTGGGCTGCTTTGCCCGGGATGGTATCCAGCTTCTTGAATGTTGTTGGTGCTGCAAGTCACACTCCTAATTTGTGCTTTGTAGATGATGGACAGGCACTGGGGAGACAGGAGGTGAATTACTTGCCACAGAATTCCTATCCTCTGATCTGCTCTTATAGCCACAGCATTTATATATCTCATCCATTTCATTTTCCAGTCAATGACAACCCCCAAGATGTTACTAGTGGAGGATTCAGTGATTTTAATGCCATTGAATATCAAGGATGAATGGCTAGATTCTTCCTTGTTGAAGATGGCTCTTGTGTTATGTTCAAAGCAGATGTGCAGTATTCCTCTAAGGGTCATGCACATTATATCATCACCATATCATACCATGTGATCAAATAATATCAGCCCCTCATTATCCTTCTTACAGAACTCTGTCCCCCTGAAGCCTGACTCACTAAGGGAAGCTTGCTGTTGTGCATCCAAATTGTTTAGCTTGAGCCCAGGCACAGAAGTGCCTGTGGTTGTAATGTACATACGTAAATACCAGAAGCTGTAATAAAAATTCATTGAATTATTTAGTACAACATGACCCATGACTTATATTTATGTTATTGGAGCTAACATAAGTATCACAGCATGTTAACTTCAGATCATCGCTATACCTGGCTCCATCAAGTCATGGTGGCAGCAAAATGGTAAGCAATGAACAAAACTACTAAGAAACTAGGAATAAAAGAATCCAAAATGAAGATTAGGCAGCCCTGGGTCATGAAGTATTCAGATGACAAACCACAATAAGTTTATATGAGTATCTTAAATAGCCAGGAGACAGATATACCACCTTTCAACATAAGGCTCAAGATTTATCAAGCTTGAATCCCTCTATCTCCTCTTCAAAACTAAGAAAAGCTTCAGGTTGCTTCCCAACGTAAAAGTTAATGTACGATTGTTGAAAGACTTCTCACAGGTTTAAAAGCAAAATCCATGTGTAACAGGCTTCTTACAAGTGATACTGCCCAGTTGAACCACACAGCCCTCCTGCTTGAAAAAAAAATGGCTTTATAAGCTCTGAAAGTGCTTTTCTAAACTAGAGAAGCTTACATATGTATGTTTAGTAGTTGATTGGTTCCACATTTTATTTCAAACATACAAACAAGAACAAGGGTAGACCACTTGGCTCTTCAAGCCTGTTCGACCATTCAATAGGATCATGGCCAATCTGACTTTAACCTCAACTCTACATTCCTGCATACCTTTGATAATGTTTCATCACCATGGTAAACAAGAATCTATCTACCTCTTCCTTAAAAATATTTAAAGATTCTGGATCTAATGCCTTTTGAGGAAGTCAATTCCAAAGACTCACAACCCTATGAGAGAATTTGTTTTCCTCATCTCTGTCTTAAATGGGCCACTTCTTATTTTGACGCCATGATACCTAGTTCTAGACTCTCTAACAAGAGTAAACAGCCTTTCCACATCCACCTGGTTAAGTCCCCTCAGGATCTTATATGTTTCAATTCAGTCACCCCTGACTTTAACCACCAGAGCATAGTGGTCTAGCCAATCTAGCCTTTCCTTCAATTTGGCATCAAAACCTGCGTGACATCATTAGTCCTTATTTGCTGTGAACTCTCCTTACAGACTGAAACCTCCTACTAAAGGCCTCTGTCTCTGAAACATGCAGACCTGCACTCAACAAAACCTCTTAAAGAAGCTACACTGTGAAAAATAAGGTAAAATAGGCTATTGCTATACTGATTGTTTGGTGGAAGGGCAAGGGACGGCTGGCAGGGAAGGAATCATAGCACATTAAAACTGAAAGAACTGCAGATGCTGTAAATCAGGAACAAAAACAGAAGTTGCTGAAAATGCTCTTTAGGTCTAGCTGCATCTGTGAAGAAAAAAAATCAGAGTTAACATTTCAGGTCCGGTGACCCTTCTTCAGAACGGACCCAAAACATTAACTCTGATTTTTTTCTTCACAGATGCTGCCAGACCTGCTGAGCATTTCAAGGAATCATTGCACAATGCTTAGAGAATGCATGTGTTCAGAGTGACTCATATGAACTCTACCTCTGTTGTATTTAATATCGCTTTAGTAGTATGAAATCACATTTATTGAGAACACCACCAACAGATAGCACAGATAGCATAAACATGCAGGACCACAGACTTGCACTGACCTACTGCCCAGCAACAGAGTGGCAGCAGCTGCCACCTGGCACAAAGATGGAGCTGGTGGGAACAAATCCAAGGCACAAAGAACCAACCAGCACAGCCGCCTGTTCCCCCATTCTATCAGCACTAGAAAGCAGGATGAAGATTTTTAATTTGATCATGGGATGACTGTCTCACTGGGTCAGCATTTCTTACCCTTGTCTAACTTCCCGGAAGGTAGTTGAGAGTCAACCACATTTCGTAGATCTGAGTCACATGTAGTGCAGACCAGGTAAGGACAGAAGATTTCCTTCTCTAAAGGATATTAGAGAACCAGATGGGGGTAAGAATGTGGCCGAAGCAGCATAGGTGAATCTTTTAATTAAAAGTTAATTCATGTTAAATAAAGGTGGGGCAGTCTGTGCTAGAGCTACATGTGTGTAGGTGCAGCTATTCAGACTGATCAGTCAAAAAAAGAGTATCAGGCTACTTGAGTAAACTTGGTCTTGATTCAGCCTAAATAATTTCAACATCACTCAGTTCAAGGATCAAGCTAAATTTTATCTCCCAGCTGCAGAGTACATGCACGTGACTCCAGCCAGCAATACCCCCTTTACCTTTGGGCTGGTGAAATTTGCACAAGGACTTTAAGGGATGTGTTATTGGCTGCAGCCATGAGCATATGCGGCTGAGGGATAAAATTTAACTAGATGCTTGAAACAAGGGGCATTGGAATTATTTAGGCTGAATCAAGACCAAGTTTACCCAAGTAGCCTCAATTTTTTTGGTGGCTTGTAGCTGACCACGTAATCATGAATATATGGTGTAGAAATTGGATACATAACCAGTGAAAAGAGTGAAGGGAAAGTAACCATCATTCCAGAGAATGCCCTGTCGTTAGAGAGTGACAACTGGCGGTGAGTTTAACCTGAAGGTCACCATACCTGAGGTGAGAGGTGAGACTTTCACGGTGACCTCAGTTGGTATGGGAATTGAACCCACAATGTTGGCATCACACTGTATCACAAATGAGCCAACTGGGCTAACCGAATCCCCAGAGACAGCAGAGTGCTGCCTGGCAATGACTGTGACCATTGCCCACCCTTAAACCACCATAATAACTGCTGATCCTCTAGTTCAGGCACAGGGGTGGACAATTACCCTCATGCGCCTCGCCTCTCTCTCTCTGTGCCTCTGTAACATGTGTCTGTGTCCTACTCAATGCGTTCCCCCCGGATGGGCCCTAGGAACCATTGTGCAGTATCAGGTTGCCGTAGGGATGCTTTACTCGCCTGGTTTCCGGTGAGTTGGCCCAGCTGGATTGAGAGGCCGGTTTCCTGGGAGATGGCTGAGTGCAGAGTGGAGGCGCCGGGTCCTATCCTTATCCCTGTCCTGGACTCAGGGGTCGGCGGAGGCGGCAGCAGCAGTAGCAGTAGCGGCAGGGAGGCCACCAACAATAACCCACTGGCCAGGAAGCTGAATAAAATATTGGAGACCCGGCTGGACAGTGACAAGGTGGGGGCTGTCACTGAGCCTACTGGCAATGTACTGACTTATGGCCAGCTTCACTTTACTCAATAGTCAGGTTCATAATCTGTTCGCTGAGAACTATGTTAGAGAGAAAGTAAGTTTCCTGGATTTTTATTCTCAAACGTTCAGCGAATGTTAGAAGCTGCGTTGGATGCTACAGAGCCTCTGGGATACATAGCTGTTTTTATTAAAAAAATGTTCGATTCAGAGAGCCCCTGATTAGGAGTGACAGTCTATCTCTTGCAGTTTAAAAATGTAATCTGCTTTGGATATGTCAATGTGATCGAAGCAGTGCAGCTCCATCTGTTTGAATGGATTACCAAAGTGTAACTTACAACAGCAAAAACAAAATTGCTGGAAAAGCTCAGCAGGTCTGGCAGCATCTGTGAAGGTGTTAATGTTTCGGGTCCAGTGACCCTTCCTCAGAATGTTTTTGTTTTGTAAGACTGTTTAAATTAGTTCATTCTCACCTGCTGTGAGCGATATTTACATCTTGACATAAAACATTTCTCTTTGTAAGTCAGAAGCAACTTCATTGGGCAAGTGTCCCATGGATTACTATGGTCCTACTTCTGATATGCATTGCATTGTCACTTCCTCAAGTTAGTGCAGACTTGTACCTATTTGGTGTACATTTGGTTCAGCTATTTAACAATGTACCACATCAAGTGCGATAAGACCTCAAAACTACTTACTAGTCCAGGATCATTCCATAGAATGATGGCTGATGATTACGAGCTTGTCCTCAAATCCAAAGCCTTTTTCCATTACCCCCACAAATCTGAGAAGAATAAACAGTTGGAAAGTGAAAGGAAGTCAAGTAGCCAGAGACAAAGGACAGTTGGGAGCATACTGGTTCTCAGGCCATAAAGATAGGTGCTGAGGGAGGAACTGATGTTTGAAAGCCTAAGTGTTTCCATTGCCACAAGATGGTACACCTTTGAGCAAATTGGTGGAAATTGCAGAGTAAACTAATGGAATCCATCCGGGTACATAAAATAAGTACAGAGAAAAGAATCCTAACCAAGAGTACCACAAACCAAGTTTCAGCACTGTCTGTGACTGTGAGACCATGTACAAATACCATTGAGTGTGGGAAAGGTGAACAAAGTAGCTGAGAGCTACGTACAATTCTTGTCAAATGCAACAGTAATTCCTTAAGTCTCAAATAAGGCAGGTTGCACTTAGGGATACAGGGGCTGCATATCCTCTCTTGTTGGAGATAGGTGTAACTCTTCCACAAATGAGCACGTTGAATGCCAGGACTTTAGTGAACAGCATTGGTGGGGAGTACATACCTTTAAGGTTTTAGCGAAGATTTGTAGCTCGGGTTGTGGGTGAAGTTGCCGACTTGCTCGCTCAGCTGGTTTGTTTTTGTTCAGACGTTATGTCACCATGCTAGGTAACGTCATCAGTGAGGCCTCCGATGAAGCGATGTTGTTCTACTCCGCTTGGAATTTATACTGTCCGGTCCATTATGATGAGTAATGTCATTTCTGGTTTTGTTCTGTATGGGTTTGTATATGGGGTCCAATTCTGTATGTTTGTTAATTGCATTATGGGTTGAGAACCATACCTCTAGGAATTCCCATGCATGTCTATGTTTGACTTGGGCTACTATAGTTACGTTGGCCCAGTTAAACTGATGGCCTTCATTGTCCGAGTTTACTGATATAAAGTTTGTCGTCTCGTTTTGCTGCTAGCTGATGTTCGTGTTTTCTGTTAGCTAGTTTCCTTCCTGTCTGTCCGATGTAATGTTTGTGGCAGTCGTTGCATGGTATTTTGTAGACTTTGTTGGTTCTGCATGTTGTGGGAATGGGGTTTTTAATCCTTGTGTGTTTGTCATAGAGTGGCTGCGGGCTTGTGTGCTACTGTGATTCTTAGTGGCCGTAAGAGTCTCGTTGTCAGTTTTGATATGTTCCTGATGTAGGGCAGTGTGGCCAGTGTTTTAGGGCATACAATGTCCTCATGTTGTTGTCAGTACTCACCATAACAGACTAGACAGTATAAATTCCAAGCGAAGTAGAACAGCATCACTTCATCGGAGGCCTCACTGATGATGTTACCTGGCATAGTAACAAAACGTCTGAATGAAAACAAATCAGCTCAGTGAGCAAGTCAGCAACCTCAGTACATACCTTTTGATTTGGGTGCAGCTGAAGTGTGACCTAATGTCTGGAGCAAAAATTATATGGATTGTCCACAAGTTACCTATAGTTTTAGTTAATCTTCTCCTCAGGAATAGTTTGGCTAAAATTAAAGTAGTAGCTTCTCCAATAAACTTGGAAAGGCCAAGTGGAATTGAGGAGACAGCAGTAGTGAAAAAGGTTCCAGGAATATTTCCTTCATGTGTAGGGACTCAAGTAAAGACGAAATAAATTTCGTCCTAGGAAGTCATTTTTTGCACTGCAGACAAATATTTGGCGATCTGAAGCGTTCATCGGGATTTGGATAATCTAAAGGATATGTTCATTAAGTCGTCTTTGAGGCTCAGCAAGCTGATTCAAACCTAGGTAAAGTAACGCAATGGCTCAAACTGAAACTAAAGCTGAGGGAATTCCAGTATGCTACTGTTTTAAAAATATGATTCTGATGAGAAAGTGGAGACCTCTTACAAACCTGTAGATGAAGAGTGGAATGTGATTTGTCAGATTGTGGTGCTGCCTAAATATTGTCAGAAAATATTAAGAACTGTCCATGAAATTGTTGAGGTGGAACACATATGGATGTGGAAGACCCAAGCATATATACGTTGATGCTTTTTAGTGGCCAGGACTTGCAAAGACTACATTTTGTTTTGTTTGCCACCCTGGATTCACTGAATTACTCCACCAATTTCTGATCTTTTCGGTTAGTTTATGGGTATGAGGTAAGTGAACCTCCAAAACTAATCAAACTGAAGTTTTCAGAACGGAAGGATGGATCTTCCATGTTAAATTATGTGTGTTCTGCATGTGGCTCACAGGAGCATGCAAAGAGGTTTAGTAAAATCTTAAAGATTTACAAACCATTATGAAGAATTGGGCTGACAAATATGCCAAGACCTGAACATTTCATTTGGGGATGATGTGTTATACAACTGCCTTTACAAATTGAACTGCTGAAACCATTGCTAAGTAGTCCATATAGCATAGTCAAAAGCTTTGGGAAAGTGAATTATTGGACTGATACCCCAGATTGCTGGAAAAGCAATTGACTCTGTCTCATCAATATGAAGTAGTTTCCATCCTGAGATGAGGATAACCATGTGCAGGTAACTCAGACAGTAAGGACATTGGCGGATCAAAGGGGTAGGGTGAATGAGGTAGAGGGAGGCCTAGACAATTCCCAAATTGGAACCTCCTACTGTTTGGTTAGAAAACTCTGAACTGTTAGGGAGGATACACATCATACTTGGTTGCATATCAATGAGGAGCCATAACAAGGCTTCACTCAGAACTGAAGTGAATCTGTAGGGACCAATCAGGATGTTTAACCATAGCCATACATGATGTGGATGTGGGGGAATTTTCTCCTGTAAAACAGCATCCTTGACACTGTTAACCTTAAGTTCACCCGGACCATCTCTAATACCTCTCTCACCTTCCTCGACCTCTCTGTCTCCATCTCGGGCAACCATCTAGAAACCGCTATCCATTTCAAGCCCACCGACTCCCACAGCTACCTAGAATACACCTCCTCCCACCCACCTTCCTGCAAAAATGCCATCCCCTATTCCCAATTCCTTCGCCTCCGCTGCATCTGCTCCCAGGATGAGGCATTCCACTCCCGTACATCTCAGATGTTCTCGTTTTTCAAGGACCGCAACTTCCCCCCCCACCTCAGTGGTCGAGAACGCCCTCGACCGTGTCTCCTGCATTTCCCGCAACTCATCCCTTACACCCCGTCCCCGCAATAACAGCCAAAAAAGAATCCCCCTCGTCCTCATGTACCACCCCACCAACCTCCAGATCCAACGCATCATCCTCCGACACTTCCGCCATCTGCAGTCTGACCCCACCACCAAAGACATTTTTCCCTCCCCACCCTTATCTGCTTTCCGAAGGGACCACTCTCTCCGGGACTCCCTTGTCCGCTCCACACTCCCCTCCAGCCCCACCACACCCAGCACTTTTCCCTGCAACTGCAGGAAGTGCTACACCTGCCCCCACACCTCCTCCCTCACCCCCATCCCAGGCCCCAAGAAGACTTTCCATATCAAGCAGATGTTCACCTGCACATCTGCTAATGTGGTATACTGTACCCGCTGTGGCCTCCTCTACATCGGGGAAACCAAGCGGAGGCTTGGGGACCGCTTTGCAGAACACCTACGCTCGGTTCGCAATAAACAACTGCACCTCCCAGTCGCGAACCATTTCAACTCCCCCTCCCATTCCTCAGACGACATGTCCATCCTGGGCCTCCTGCAGTGCCACAACAATGCCACCCGAAGGTTGCAGGAACAGCAACTCATATTCCGTTTGGGAACCCTGCAGCCCAATGGTATCAATGTGGATTTCACAAGCTTCAAAATCTCCCCTCCCCCTACCGCATCCCAAAACCAGTCCAGCTCGTCCCCGCCTCCCTAACCTGTTCTTCCTCCCACCTATCCCCTCCTCCCACCTCAAGCAGCACCCCCATCTCCTACCTACTAACCTCATCCCGCCCCCTTGACCTGTCCGTCCTCCCTGGACTGACCTATCTCCTCCCTACCTCCCCACCTACACTCACCTTTACTGGCTCCATCCCCGCCTCTTTGACCTGTCTGTTTCCTCTCCACCTATCTTCTCCTCTATCCATCTTCTATCCGCCTCCCCCTCTCTCCCTATTTATTTCAGAACCCCCTTCCCCTCCCCCGTTTCTGATGAAGGGTCTAGGCCCGAAACATCAGCCTTTCTGCTCCTCTGATGCTGCTTGGCCTGCTGTGTTCATCCAGCTCTGCACCTTGTTGTCTCGGATTCTCCAGCATCTGCAGTTCCTACTATCTCTATCCTTGACACTCCAGT